ACAACTGCTAAAGAAAGAAGCTGACCATAAATTACACATGTTAGCATGGGACTGTTGGAAGCAAGTTGGTGCCTCTCCTCCGTTCTCATGCGGATTTCCTGAACCTCTCATGAGAGAGCAGCAGGCTCAACGTTCTGCTGAGAAGACTCACCAAAACGACACCTTGCATTAATGAGACCAACATTATTCACAGCAATTAATAGCTTTACTTTGCTACCTTATATAAATATTTTAAAATTTGATTAAAAGTAGTTGACGATGGCACTGCAGTTTTCCTTTAAGTAGCGAAAATTAGGTTTAAAAAGAAATCCACTAAAAGCATATATATGTATTTAACCTGCTAACCCTAATCTTATTTCAAAAAAATTAAGAATTGGATGCTTTTTTAAAAGAAAAAACAGGCACAGGCTGCATTTTAACTGTCACACACAAATTGCATTTTGGCATTAGCCACTGTCACGCATGGAAGCGGCGCTGTAATGGTACAGGCTTATTTCCCCCAGATGTTGTCCTCAGGAACATCAGGTGCAGCACCGTTCCTCCAAACAGGCAAATGAAATGGAAACACTTGAACGTGAATCCAGGTATTGTTTCTAAAGCAGTGAATATTTTTCATTGACAGTAATGAAACAAATCATTGATTCAATGAATGGATTTGTTGGCTGAAAAATTTTCATGTAGTTAAAGAAGATGACTCCTTCAAATCAGGTTGCGCGTTTATAAAAATTCACATTCTATAAATTAGCTTTCACAGTTAAATAGATAGGGGCTGATCCTTATGCAGAATTAGATACACAAAGCATTTTACTTATTTCTTTTTTAAATGTTTCAAAAAGTTTAAAACACTGCTTTGCTTATATTTTTCCTATCAGTACCTAAAGTACCACTGAATTTGATAAAAGTATCTTCCCCAAAATACAGTTGGCTTAGAATAACACTGATTTTTAATAAGAACTCTTAGCCTAAAAAAAGATTCATACCAAATGGGAAAATAAGTTTAAAGAGAAGTTAGTTACCTGCAGAAGCAATGCTTGTTTGGTTGGTTCCCCACCCCCCCACCCCCCCCGGTATATGCTTAACTCATCTTATTGGCTAGAGCCAAATTAACAAATAAATGCATCAGCAAAGTATTCACTCTAAATTTTCAGTTTAGGAAAAAAAAAAAAAAAAAAAAAAAAAAAATCTTGAAACAAATGTGTTTCCCCTGCCCCAACACCCTTCCCAGTTCCTAAATCTGAAGAGGAGGGAATTAATAAAAACACATAACTGGATGCTTTAAAAGATGATATGAAGTAAAAACTGAATTTGCTATTAACCATTTGCAGAAGAGGCAAAGTAGCAGTTATACAAATTACACAAAAATCTATGGCAATTGTTACATTAGTATAAAGTGATTTCACTGAAGGAATTATTTCAATATTTCACATTACAGTTAAGATAGAAGGGGTGTGTCAAATGCTCTGAGACACCCTTGTTAATATAATCTATCCTAGATTACACACGACAGTTTTAAGAAAGGACCCTTAAATGATCTACATCTGTAACATGTTATTGGCTTAAAAAAAAAAAAAAATCACTTGCAATACCTCACAGAATCTTCACTTTAAAGCATGACCACCTTGTAAGAGTCCTTGTCAAATAACCTGCAGAAATAATGGAGCATCTTGCTATGAGTGCTCAACCCTCTCACTTGTGTGACTAGGCACCAGTCGGTTTCATCTGAGAAAAAAAATTCAAGTAAGACTAAGCTGTGCTGGCTTTCTGAGAGTATTTGCAGATGGTTCAAGTGCTGGAGGTCCAAACATGCATTTGTTTTGCTATTTGGTGCACGTAACCAATGTCAGGTCTTTGATCTGGATCAGGGTATATGCACATGCTGACCAGTTCCCGTAGCTGAAAGACAGGAAAACAGGCATTCAAATATAAATGGATCAACTTAGGTCTTCCCGGAAAAAGATACAGAGCAGTTTGTCCGACCACTGGAGTCCAGGACAGGAGTTAGGAACCTTTTACTCAGGCATTCACGGGCAGACTGTGCACACATTCACTTGTGCACACATTCACTTGCCCTCCCCATGAAAGGACCAAGGAGAACCTTTTACCTTAGCACTGGAGCTTTTAATCTTCTACGTAACAGAGTGGATTTTACATAAAGTCTTTATAACGTGCTGTTCAGTATGTACCTACGTGTATCCCCTGCTCAGAGGCTTTGGGTGGCTCTACAGAGAACGCAGCAGCCTGGCTGATCTGTTACTCCTGACGCTGACTGCTATAAGATATATATATATTTTTTTTAAATCTTCTTTCCTGGGAGATTTTTATTTTACCTTAGAGAATCAGAGCAGAGACATCTCAGATAACTAGCAGCTTGCTGAGGGAAACAAGTAGTTAGTAAGAGCGTGACGAGTAAGACAGACAGGGTCACAGGCAGGCCTAAGGGCAACGCCGGTGCAGGGGGCTCCAGTTTGGGGTGGGGTAGGGAAGCAGCACTGGGCGGTGGGACAGAGGAATCGGGATGTGGGTGGGAAGAGGGAAAAACAAGCTCAACACCAGCGATTTGACTGAGCTGACAGATGATGAAGGACTCGGAGGAAAAGGAGAAAGTATAAAATGAGGTGTTTCAAAACGTGTCCTGAACAGAACTCTCCTGTACAATAATTGTCCTCCACTTCCCACGTCAAATGCTTTGTAACGAGCCAGGTTCAATGTTTGTAACGTAAAGTCTGAACAGCACTTCTGCATCTTAAGACACAGGATGCCAGAACGTAGCTGTATGAAACAGCAGCATTTCCTAGAAGACCTCTGTGAAGAGAGAGACTGGTCATTGATTATGTTTAATAAGTAACATGCAGAAGGGCTGAAGTCTCCCCACCTCCCAACCGTCTTTATTGTGCACATGAAAGATTGTAGCTTTTAATTATACAGACACCGAAAGCTGCTCCTATCCCTGAGGCATGGGGAGAAACAGCCTTGAGCCTCTGATCTTCTCACATCCTCCCAGTAGCCACGGTGCCAATTATTTTAATGGTAATTAAAAGCATGACCACATAAGCTATAAGCACATAGCTTCAGCTGCATAACTGAATATACCCAAGTGAAGCTTTCAGTCCCGAAGGGGGCAAGGCCCTACGCCCCGCGGTGCTGCTGGGCCTGAAGCACGTTTCAGCGGGGATGTTGCAGGGACGTACACAGCTGAGCAGCAGACAAGCAGACAGGGCCGAGGCACAGGCACACGTGCAAGCAAAAAGGACAGCGTAACGCAGTTCATACCTAACCACCTTGCATATCGCTGTGTAACGTACACACTGACAGCAACACAGACCCACTGCCCGGCTCTCTGCAGAGCAACCTGAACTCCGCAGCCCCTCTGCCTCTGCTCCCTGCCGAGGCGGCTGCGAGGTGAGCCAGGGTGCGGGCACGCGTGTGCGCACGTCTGCGTGTAATCCTGTGGTAGCTAACGAGACCTCAAAGATTTAACATGTACCTGAGCCCTGATCAGACAGCCTGCACCACAAAACAGACACATGTGAATGAATTAAAACACTACTGAAGATCTGAGCAAAATCTGCACCACCAGTACAACTTACCCAACCAGTAGCTTTGTTTCCATGTAGGTTAAAGCACTTAAACACAGTCTGGGCAGTTTTGTCCTCGGTCAATGACCATCACAACACAGAGGTTTCACCACCACCATCTCCATGGAACTGATGATGGACCAGGCCTCGATAAGCCCCGCAAACGGGCGTTGGCAATTTACTAACAAAGTTTTCCAGAGATAGAAAACTAATCCCAGCTAGAGTCCCAGCTACTCTTCCTGCTACAAGAAACAAGCCAGCTGGCCATGAGATTTGGACTGTTTAGCCATAAAAGGCTACAGAGGAAGAGGGGCATCACTTAAAGGGAACACCGTTATAGCAGGCATTCTTCAATAAATGCTCTCGTTCGTCTAAAACAGTGCTGCGAGTGAAACATTCACGTGATTAGCAATCAGCCTGCGGCCTAACACATCAGCGCAGCCAAAACTTGGCTTTGAGACAGTACTACTGAGGTGAAGGAAAGACATGCTGATGGCTCTGGAGCATGGCTGAAAACTGTTCAGTAGCATGCCTGGCCTAATGCTCACTCCTGCATGGAGTGGGCATGGGTGGGAGGAAGGCTCTGCTGCTTTCCCCCATCCCTCACAAACCAGCGGCAGTGACAGTATTAGACTGATTTATAGAATCTGCCCTCTCAATCTAAAATGGAGACATTTCCTCTCGAAGGAAGACGTACACACCCAGACAGGGGACACCCAATCGCCCACTGCTCTCAGGAAGAACAAATTCCTTTTTATGCACCTTGATGCTGCAGATGCTCCATATTTCCAAGTCTTTCAGGAAAAAAAAAAGTCCTGGTGGCCTGCCTGCGTGTTTTACCTAGCTCGGCTGGTGGAAAACACCAACACGCCTTCCCTTTAGCAATTCACTCCAAAAACATCTGAAAATTTCATCTTTAAAAGTATGTACTACAACAAATAGCGTTCATAGTGGAGTCATGTCCTAATATTAACAAAATTAGGCCCTTCGCAGTTTCATATAACAAGCAGCAGCTAATACAGTGAGATAAGCTACAGCCAAAGGCGCAGCCCTCCTCCAACTTTGTCAAGCATTCTGCTAATAGTGTATGAACACCATCTGGAGTCTCTGGGACCTGGTGCCTTTGAGCTTTAAACCATCCTTCTCACCCTGGATTGTATCACTGCACTACACACACTCTTTAGCACTGCCAGAGGGAAGCAAACAGACAGTAATTGTAAAGACAGGAAACACATCTGTCAACTTACACTAATTCTTGCTGCCAGCAGGCATATCTTGAAATGCATGCTACAATAGCATGGCAAACGTGAATGTGCCTACCCTGGACTCGCTGCTAAGGCAGCTTTGGGGGGAAAAAAAAAATCCACTTTTCTAGAACAGTTCCCAAATAATTTTTTTGCATGAGTTACTTAGCAAGAAGCCAAACCTAAACTGTGTCTATATATTTATTTTTAATGAGCACAATGCCCTTTGCAGTCAAGATCCTGCCATCTTTACGTCAATATGAACAGTCTTATATGGCTAAGAAATTGCAACTGTCCATTGTCAGAGGAGAATTGGGAGCAAACCAGCCACTTCACACAGGCTGCATAAGAACTTAGGACAGGAAGGTAACAAGAACAGATGCTCTCTACAGAGAGAGAAAGTGTCCGTGTCCACATCCTCCTCCCGAACGCAACAGCCAGCTGACTGCATGCTACAACCTTATCCAATACTACTGCACAGACAGTTTACACTGTTTTTTATGGAAGTGTTGTAAGCAGAAGAGCTTTCAGAACGGGCCTGATGCAAAACTCTTCAACAGTCACACTGGGAAGGTAGCAACCCGTGAGGACACGCGCTGGTGTCATTTTCAGCAGCCTTGCTGGGATGGTTTCTCTCTCCAGTGCTGTACACTGCTTTTCCACTACAGAAACTCATTGTTAATGCAACCTGTGTAAGAGACAAAGCGTACTTCGATGACACTGTATTTGAAGCAGCCAGTGTGTCTATGGACACGGTCAGACCTTTGTACTAAAACTGGTCTTTATCCCTGCAGCTGAGTGACTCGGTCTTTCAAGCAAAGACTGTGGTGGCTCAGAGGACAGTACCACACCAGCCCCAGGGAGACCACAGTCATGGTTTAAATTCATGAGCGAAACACCTCAAAGTGCAGGTGAACCCCTTAGCAGCCTTCCCCGAGCGATACTCGCCTTAGTGCGGCTGACTCAAACCCACGCTGTGGGCAAAACCGACCTTCACAAGTTTAGTGTTCTTACCCTTCCTTTAAGGGCCATTAAAATTAAGGGAGTTATTTATGTCCAGTCCAGAGAAAAGCAATCCTGCATCCAACCTACCCAGAGTTTCTCCCAGAGCACAGGCCAGCTCCCAAGAAACGTGGCCCGTAGTGGAGCTAACTCCTGCTGCCTGCTTCTGCTGAGTGACATTCCTCAACGTCTCGTAGGCAGATCCACGTGCCGCAGTACCTTTCCCCCATAAGCTAAATGTCTACAGTTCAGTGTATTTACAAGTTAACTGGTTGCCAGTGAGAGCGCTTCCTGGTCAACTTATTTTTTCCATTTGCTTTTTTCAGAAAAGCTGGCAGAGTCTGAGTACCAAAAAGATGGAGACTAGATCACATTTTCAAGATGCAGAAAATATCTCCAGTCTTCTTCCTCTGCTCCCCCCCCCCTTTTTTTTTTTCCACTAGTATCTCTACTTTTTGTCCTATCCTCTCACAGAAAAATCCACATTCCCCACTTGGCTTTATGCACATTGCAATCCCAAGACAGACAGATCTGTGTACAGATATATGTCCATTTCTTTCATACAACTGCCACAATAAAACCCAGCAGCATAAGACGTACAGAGCACTGGCACAGTCCCTCTTACGGTGGAAAAAACAGATTGTCTGCTAACAGCTAGGTATTATACTTTCTCTGTATCCCATCTCTTGTTCCTCAGAACTCTGCTGTAGACTAAAATAAAGACCCAAAAAGGATATGGTGAACATCTAAAATTACATTAGCTATTTCTTTTCAAAGAGGGGGCAACTACGACTGAAAAAGAAGGTGAGGAAAACAGCTGGCTTATCTACATAAGAAAAAAAAAAATCTTAAAAAGAAAAAAAAAATCAGCCCAAAAGGCGCAGTACAAAAATCAACAGGGGTGACTGCAGCTAAACTGAAACACAGCAGAGCAAGCATGCACGGCGACAATTTGTGCTACAGCTGGGTTCAGCCACTGCTCTCCATCTCTTGCTTTCATGAGCAATAAAATTAACCAGACTTTTTAAAAGCCCCAATATGGCTGCTGTGTATGCGCTTACCGTACTAAACTAAATGAGTTTCCTTCCCCCTCCCACTTTTTTAAAGAATCTTTTTTCTCCCTTGTTACACACTCCACAACTGAAGACTTCACAAACAGAAATTTAAGTGCTGTTTTATGGTATGTTATTTGAAGGGAAGGGAAGGGAAGGGAAGGGGAAGGTTTTCTCACGCTTCGTTGTTGTGTTTTGCCACTGTAACAGACTTCCAGTCTCAAAATACTCCCCACACTAAGAAACCTTCTTTTCTGTCTTAATTTAGCTTGCTGATATTCAGACACTACGACAACAGGTTCCTTAGCCAGCCATAAACGTACCTGAGATATTCTCTCTAGCCATCCCCTGTTCCGCCTTAGATGCTGGGGGCTTTCCTTGGGGGTTCCCTGTCCCGTGAGGCAGGGCGGTAGCTCGCTGTACCCCCATCACCCCCAGCCCCTGGAATAACGTTCCCAATTTACCTTTTCAGAATAATGTTCGGCTGGAAGAGGTGGGTAGTCACATTGCTCTATTTTTTGGCAAAGAGAAAACAGGTTCATTTTATCTCCATAGAAAGGACTCTGAAGAGCTGCCATCTGGAGAGAAAAAGAGAAAATATTTCAGAAATGTAAGGGATTTAATAGCCCTCAGTACCGCTGATTTTGCGAGAGCAAATTTTCTTCTTTGACAGAGAGCAAACGATTATGTTGCTCTTTGAGAGCGTATGCAAGCCAAAGTTGCTCCGAGAGCATGACAGTTTTGCACGCTGTCGCACGGCTGCTGCCAGAGGCACCGGGTGCTTCGTGATGCCCAACCACCCCTCCAACGCGGTCAGCGCAAGCAAACGGAGTTACAGCAGGCAGCAGCCCAGAGCTCCTCCTATCACAGCACCCTGTCCAAACTAAAGAAACGAGAGTCCATTGTTGCACCGTGGCGTCAGCCCCCTGCGGCCCCCTGTGCTGGCACGGGACCTTCCTGCGCTGCGGGCTCACGCACGCTTGCGCCCTGGGAAGCTGAATCGCCTCCCCTGCCTCCCCCGCAGAAGCGATCTGTAACCAAAGCAAGCAGCCGGCTTGGCAGCGTGGAGACTGGAAACCAAATAGATGCCACCACTGCCCCCCAGCACAAACACCATCACTCATCACTCTTCCTTGGATCTCTTCACGCAGCAAAGCCTCTGTTTTCCTCCCCCCGTGATTATTTCTGTGCAAAACGTTTCAGATGTGGGACACTGGATACGTACAGACAACAGTTCTAGGAATACACAGAAAAATAGTACCGATTTTTTTAAAATCAAGGAATAGGATACTTGTACTATAGGGCAATCATTTAGAAACGAACCGCCTGTAAGACCGTGATAGCTCATCATAAACATGATGACCTCTTTAAAAGCGAAAAGCTCTTCTGCCTTTGATAACGTGTGACGGCTTCGCTCTTCCTCAGTCACAATCAGAACAGTTTGCTCTCTGCCGCTGCCAACTTTTTAATAGACTGGGGTAAGAAATAAATTGATTAATTCTGGATATTTGGCTACCTAAAATACAAAGAATCTTATAAACATGAATGATTCACTTCAGGAAATAAAAAAAATAAAAAAATAATTAAAAAAAAAAAAATCAAGCAACCCCTGCTCTCTCACCCCCCTGGAAACGTGCTATTTAGGGAAGAGGATCCCACACAGATTTTGGAATCAGACTACTGCAACTTCTCCTAATCAATCTCTGTTTTTCCTCTTTAGATTCTGTTTTATGAACCCAATATTTGCATCTCCAAAAATAGGACAGATTTATGAGACAAACGGAACCTCCCCGTAGCAAGGACGGCACGGCGGAAGGCTTTCGGTGGGGAAAAATTCCTTCCAGGGCAGGCAGAGAGTCTTTAGAGAGACATGTTTACATTACGCTTAAGTCTCAGGAAGGAAGCTGCATCTTCATGCGTCGAAAATAATTTCTCCCGGAAGCCCTTAACCGAGCGGTCTAAATGACCATTAAATGATGAGCCTCAAAACCAGACATAGTGAGACATGCCTACTCGGACTTCAAAACGTGGTGGAAGCAACGTCTGTCTATTCAAAGTAAACGTTACGAGTCAAGAACCGTTTTTCTGCCTCCCTCTCACGTACGATTCACGAGCGGCAGAGCCACCACCCTGCCCGGCGGCACTCGTCGCCTCGGCACGCGGCCCACGCGGCGCCCCATCTGCTTATTGATCCCTAATGGCATTCAAGTGCTTCTCGTCACTCTCGCTGACTGTCACGCGCAGCGCCACACCACACAGCCATGCCTCCTCCTAACGAAGCGCTATTGGATAATTGTTGATATTATCTACTCTGTTTAGATCTTTTTAAACCATTTCGCCACGAGCCGCATCAAATCGGCAAGCTTTTCATACTGAGGCCAGCTGAAGTTGCTGCCTCTCACTACGGCTTTAATAGGGAGTTATTTGATAATTATCAGTCTTTGGCTCATTACCACGCACCGTGAAAGCTTTCTGAAGGCGACTGTCTTGGTGCTGACACGCACCGCAAGCTCCCAGCAGCCTGCACAGAGAAGTCAATACTAGATCCCCTCCACTCTACTATCTTGCACTTAGAGACCAAAATTGATGGATTATTAGTGATTGGGTGATAGGTACACAGTTTTCACTGGGCTTGATTTACAGCAGCTGGGCACTGCCAAGGCGCAGGCTGGCCCGCCGGCCGCTCCGCCGGGACGCGTGGCAGCAGGGGCTGCCGCTAACCCCGACCTTCCTTACAATTAGCGTACCTCCAAAGGGTAAGCTAGGCAGGACACGTTAAAATAAACCATACTTGGATGAAAACATAGACATATCTTTTAAAGGATCTAAAGTTATTATGTCTTCCACTTGCTGATTTGCAACACACACTGGTCTCTTCACGAAATGAGTGAAAACATTCCTCAGCTTCACAGGGTTATCTCACCTCAGCTCCCATGCTCAGAGGCAAGCAAACGTTCGCAACGAATTATGAGACAAATGAAAAGTAACGAGATGATCTGACCATTTTCTTCCAAGCCAGTTCTCTAAGACTATCTCCTTACGTGCCTCCAGGCTGAAATATTTCTCAGGAAGTTCAAGAGGTATTTATCAGATATCCAGAAACGCTTACAAATAGCAATTGAGAATATTTTAAGGTACCCAAATTCCACGGAAATACTCTGAACTGACTGGATGGTTCTCAAAAACCATCTCTGAAAACTCCAGGCTTGTTTACTTCAGGGTTTTCTGTTTGCAATTCTTCACATAATAAAAAAATCAAAATACTTGCTGTGCCAGTGAAAAGTACTACCATTTGCTGCAGGCTGACGGAGAAAAGGAATTATGCTTGCAACCAGGGCACAAAAGAAAGGGTTTAGTAACATTCGCACTTTTACCTCTCTGCGGTTTCACCGGCTACTGTCAGCAGAGCGGCCACGATGCCAAGCGATTCTTCCTACGCTACAGAGAACCTGGATTGAACAAGCACAGCCAGGCTCCTGAAGCGTGCCCTAACTGCAGGGTAAGGGGCCGCGCGATATGGCGGTCGTGTCCTTTTAGAAGCTTTTCAAGGCAAAAAGGTGAAGCGCTGTCTCCATTACTTAATCTAAAATGCCATAATCGCAAGAGGTAAATCAATGGGGAAAAAACCAGAGACTCCAATTAAAACTCTACTCTTCAATTAGAAACTTAAAGCAAACTGCTATCAATTGGTTAAAATAAAACCGGAGAGCCTGGTGCTCAGGATGGCTCCAAGACAAAACAACAACGCGTGCATTATGGAAGGAACATAAGGCAATCAAGCGTTGAACAAAGTCCCCTAGATTTCAATACAAAAATCAGTAATTCCCTTAAGCTCAAAAGGGATTTTTCAATTCCCACTTAAATTTCTCTCTGTATCACGTTAAATGATCTAGCCCCAAAGAAAAAGAATGTTGGAAATTACAATTGAAAGGGATGCCATACCCTAAACCAGTCCAGAACGCGGAGCGGAGGGGAGAGACTACAGGCTCTCTAAATATATCACTAACAACAATTTGTGATGCTACATTTGGGTTTGCTCTGACATTTTGATTAGAGCAATTACAACAGGGCAGCTAGATCTCCATTTAAAATGACCACCATGCAGTATGACTGGTTAAAAAAAATACATAGGAATTGCTGTTAGTGTTTAAATTGATCATCTTGCTAGAACTGCTAAAGTCATTGCTTGTAGCTATATCCTGGAAATAAACAACTTATTTTTATGCCCTCCAAGTTATCTTGATGACAGGTTTATACAGGAAGTGAGGGATGAAGACAGTTCCTACTATACTGATAAGATTTTAAAAATCACTGTGTGATTATCAATGTCAAAGTTAAGTGGCGTTATCTGACATCACGTCCCAAACCCCTCAAATGCTGTGTTAAGTGAATTCCAGTGGACACACACGTCTCTGAAGGCAATTTGTACATTAAATCTCTCTTCAGTTTATTTCTCCATACAGATTGTGTAGATATCAGAAGTGACTCATAACCAGACCAACATTATTTCTTTTAAGCAAAAGAGAGACACATTTTTATTTCATGTAATTAGTAGCGATAAAATACAACTCCTTCAAAGAGATGTGAATTTGATTTTTAATTTCAGATTCTGAAAAGTTTAGAAAGTCCAGGAGCTGTTTTATCTAGTGAATACAAAATTGGTAACTGGCCAGTATTTCTTGGAATTTGCAGGATCTCACAGCTCTTGTTCACAAAGTAAAGGCTTACCTACGTAGGAAGCAGTTTAAAAATGCTTCATATGCCAAATCTTTCACATATTACTACAGTACCACTACTCCTACCAGCAAATTATGTTTAGTGTGCAATTAAGTCAGCTTCTTGAAATACAAGGAGTACTATGACTACTGTGCCATAAGGGGACCATATTGCCTGCAACAAAAACATATCTTAGCGCAATGCTAAATATTTCTCTCTGCATAAATCTGGAATCCCATCTCCAGGAGGGCTCAGTCTCAGAATGACTCAGAGCAGCCTGGTAGAGAAGGTGCTTCGTACACCAAAGCAAGAGAGTAGCAGCGTCCACCTTGGGTGACTACAACTACAGCAGATGCACTTGGCAAGTGCTACGCACCCCGGCAGGGCAGCGGTCAGTAAAGTCTTAAACTGAAAATTCCTGTTTAGACCAAATACGTGAAATGTTTAATTAAACAGTAAGTTACTGGGAGCTCAGGTTTCCTTCCTCCTGCTCCTACATAAAGTAGTCTCTGAACTACTTTTCAAATGACAAGATTACATACAGTTGTATTGTATCATTCCAGTTTTAACATCTCATTAGAAGCATTACAAACAAAACCATCCTTCATCAAAAATACCAGCTTTTAAACCATTTGTTGCTGCTGCTTCAGGATTTTATTAAAAGGCACTTCAATTATTTCACCAGAAGTAGCAAGAATTTGAGGACAGACGGACAAACGCTCAGTTTGAGCTCACAGTTTTCCACTTATGACAATGATTTATGATTTCTGAACACAGTGTCTCATAGCCTTCCTCTTCCTATCTCATGAGATTTTGACAATAAATCAGTGATATGATAACCTTGGCCTCTAGCATCTCCACTAAAGCCAATCTACTCTTACAGCAGATCTAAGAGCTGTTTGCTCTGATACTACTACCAAGGGCGATACTGGGACTTCACGCTGCTTGTGGTCATTTATGAGGCATTTATGTTACACCTAGATAATTCTTTTTCCTTAACTTAATCCTATGGCACGTCAAGTGTCCAGGAAGTCAGCAAACGTGGACAGGCTGTCTAACGAGCCTTCACCTCACTGTGAGGTGACACAGTCTTTGGATGGATACTGGTAGCAGTATAGAAAAAATGCAGAGTTTTTTGCCAGGAACATTTTTCGGGTCACATACAAATCCATAAGCATATCCAGGCCAACTGTGCTGCTGTTCTTACGTGTGAGAAGCAAAGGGCTGTCAGACTCGGACAGCACTGCACTCCTCCCAAAGACTGTCCAATTCCTCTAGCAGGATTTTATTCATTTACTTCACTGAGTTCCCAGCACCAGTATCTCTCTCTGAAGATGCACACCACATGGCGCTTTCACACTCTGCCAACAAATAAATCGGCAACTACTGCACTGTATGACTCAGAGCTTTGTACTACACTAATAATGGTAAGTTACTGCCTGTAACAAGCATTTAGTCGTATTAGATGAGTATTCTTCCCAGAAGTATATAAACAATGACAGGCACTTAACTCCTGCTGGGAAAAGCTGTATTGTACGCTTTTACAGAAAAGTGACTTTTATACCACCTTGTCCTGAAAGACTCATTTCATCAGCAACTCGAAGTACATGCCAAACATAACTGTTTTCACATCTGACGTGTTCAAAAAATAAAATACATTTCTGTTTGTTCTCCTAATCCACATGGTTATGAAAAGTTGCAGTGAGAAGCACAATCTCATCATTTCACATAACTTAAAATAACTCAGGAAAGCATAACTCTGACACTTGGAAGTCTCATAGTAAAGGAAGACGTGAACAATACTCTTAAAATTAAATAACCTAGGGATCTTTAGTTCTTTGAGTAGGGTCAAAATCTTTTTAAACGTTGACCGCACACTTTCACTTGAATTCAAAGACGTGCCGTACATTTAAGAAAGATTAAGATTAGACTGTAGGTGAGCACAAGATTTCTCAATAGCCTTTGATCCTAGCTAAAAAACTTAATCACAAAACTCAAAGTACTACTGTAAAATCACAGCATTCATTTTTAAAATCAATCTAGTAGTTTTAAGAAAAAAATTATGCAATAAGTATGCAGTTCATATGAAGTGTGGCTGCTTCGTGCCTGCACATTTGGCTATAAGACAACGTACAATTCAAAAACATTCCATCTGAATTCTAATCAAGTTAGAGAAACAGTGATTTCACATTACACAGAAACTCTATTTTTCTTTACCAAAAGCTCTAGAAATCAAAATATTCCAACTGGTCAGAATTCAATTTAACAAACCAGTCGCTTATATTCACATGAAATTTTCTATTTTTTAAACAAATGTGGTATTCAGGACAAACTACGAATCTGCTGTCCTAATAACTGCCCTGCTCATAGCGGACAAAAGGAATGCCAGTGAACTCGCTTGTTTACGTTTACATCCTCAACGTGTCCTGGGACCCACTAAACTAACTTGGCCTAAGTACTGTGCTGTACAGCGCAATCCCTTGGTTTTGAGAGCTTAAAAAGCACATGAAAGGATTTAACTTTTTGTAAGGTTTCCCAATAATTAAGCTAAAATAAGTTTGACCTACTCTAATTTCTGCTTCACTGTACTGTGTGGTTAAGACAAACTGGAAAAAAAGGTAGAAGATACTTACCTCGTACAATAAACAGCCCAAAGACCAGATATCGGATTTAAAGTTATAGCCATTTTCATGTATTCTTTCTGGGGACATATAGTATGGAGTTCCCACTGTAAAAAAGCAAAACAGGAGCAATCGTCATCTTAGAAAGTGACAGCGCAATCCGTATTGTAGAGAAGTTTGCCTTCGTTAAAGGAATAGGTTTAGCACAACCAACTCATTAGAAGATTTACAGAATAATTTGGAAACAAGTCACGGTTTCAACAGCATATTCTTATCTAGAACGAAAAATATAATAATATAAAAAAAATTAGATGACAGGTGAGTGTTACAGACAGTATCTTTTTTTATTTTTGAAATTTGAGGACAATTATCTTCCCTTTCCAGTCTTCCAAGTATCTCCGGAATATCTCACATGTATAGAACGACCGTAAATGATCATTTTCCTCTGGTTCATTCAACAGCATATGAAACTCCAAGTTAGATGTCATGAACGTTCACTGCTAAAACAAGAACCTGGTGACAGCATATCAATTGAACGTTCACTTGACATCCGCCCCACTAGCAGCATGACAGACCGGCTCGAGGTATGACGGGGTACCCTTTCTAAGAGTTCAGGAGACCATTTACTGTAGCAGAGAAATGGTGGTAACAAGCCCAACATCAGACAGGAATTCAACAACTTTCTGAAAGAACGAAGATAATTCCAAACTGTAAAATACTGTTCCAACTTGCAGTCACGTCAGAAGCTGTGGGATTTCTAGGTAGTTTCAAAGTCTGTACTTTATCAAAAGCAATTTACCACAGCATTTTGGACAGGAGTTAAGGAATTTATTAATAAATTCCTTATCTCAAAAAGACTCTTTTTAAAAAAAATCCTAAATAAGTTTCAGTTGTGGTACTGAAAACATAAGACATCCTGGCACTCTCAACATCAAATAACCCTCAGATACATCATTTATTGAAACATCCAAGGGCTTTATATGCTCTTTTTCCCTGCTTCCCCTGCTTGCCCATCCCCTGTCACTTTTTTCTGCTTTTGGCATTCCAGCATATCCTTCTCCTAATTAAAGACCTTTCCCACAAGATGGCAAATGTTTAATTGGCCTGTAACATTCAGTTTTCAGGTTTCTTCACTCAAAACCCTCAGAGCAGACAGCTTAAAGACTCCTAAGCAGGTGAATGATGGGGTCAGAGACGGGGAGAACAGCCACCACCGTCCCCCAGCTTTCCTAAGAAGGAGTTCTCCTACGTTGCAGTAAACACACTCCCTGAAAAACAGCTCATCTTGGACAGCAAAATTCCTCCGCACAGTGCACACATGACCCAGCACAAAGTCGGGCTGCTGCTGTCAGTAGGATACCCGACCAAATAACCTTGGCATCCGCTAGCTTAGACCATGCAGCGTTAAGTACACGTGCGAGTCCAAAGTTTACATGAATTTACATGTCCAAATGTAAATTCTAAACGCATTAGAGTACATCTTACAAAGCTCTGTGAAAGAACTACATTTGGGTAGAGTAGCTTTGAGTCATTATGTGAAGTTCTTCTTGGAGACTGCTTCATAAAACTCCACTGAACACTGACGTGCAAGACACTTCCCTACCTTCAACTTCTCAATTCCTCTTTTCTCAAATCGGTCAAGAAAGTTAAAAGTACCAGCAGAAGCAGAAATCATGCTAGCCCTTCACTGACAGCAGTGAAAGGAGCTGAGCATGGGTGCATCGCAGCACATGGAAGCAGCAGGAGCAAACACGAAGATCATGCCAAGTCTTACTCCCACAAGCTTTCGTGCTTTGGAGTACTTGGTGCCAGTGGTGGCCTCCAGCCTTAGCTGTTCTTGCTATCAGTTATTCTGGGTCACCGCGTGACAAGCTCAGAGCAAATAACAACGTGTGGGCTCTAAAGTTACGGCCTTGCCTTCCACGTTAGGAGGGGTATGCTCGGTAGGCTTTGTTCAATTTAAAATTGTCGTTTTGGATAATGCCTTAAAATGACCTTCGACCAAAGCAGAATGACAGGGTTTATAATACGGATGAGTGCGTTATAGCCTGTATTTGATTTTTTTTGTGCATTAGTCTGTTCCATTATATTAAACAGGTCTGTGGAGCAGTCCATGCCTGAGCTGATTTTATGAAGCCTACCTTGCACATTTACCTATCATTACTGTAGTGTTGTCAGCAAATGTATGAACAAGCAGGTCTCTGCGTTTCAAAACTGATGCATTAATTTTTAAATAACCGCCATGATAAAAGACTGACAAGCCCAATTCTCTTTATGGCCTGTCCAACATTATGTGGGAATCTCCTGTAATGAGCATCTTCTAGAAAACTGCACAAGACTTCCAACGTAATCAGCCAAGGCTCACCATTGCATTACATTAGTCAATTTGACAAGAATAGTCTAATCGGAGACTATTAATCAGAAACTTTCTTTGGCATTTGCCCTGCTGAAAATACAAAATATTGTTCACATTCAATATTAACCACCAGCTGGTAGAGTAATGCCTTTAAAGTTATAGAGGTCGCAAAACAGTACAGAAGATTATGACTAAGTAAGCATCTTCTCATTCTATTCCTGAAAGTCTGAGCACTTCACTTGAGTATCAGCCTACTTCAGAGCTACCAGAACAACATTTCTTCCTACTCCCCTAAGCACTGTCTGTGTGCCACAGCTAAAACACCCACATGTACCAGAAGATCTCCGGGATACGCGCAACACCAAGTTCAGGAAATGCTAATTATTCTGAGTAAGAGTAAGAGCTAAGTCTCTTGTTATATCAGGAAAACACACAGCCAAGGCAGCAAAGTTATTCTAGAAATAAAATTCAAATTCCTCCCTTCCCATACGCAGTTTGCATCAAAACCAGTCTGCGTGATTACAGCAATCAGTGAGCATCGATACACTGAGCTGAATTCCCAAATCCGCCTCAGAATTGCTCCCATACATCCTTCACTAAATAAGGAAAATTATGCTCACTCACTTTGAAAAGGTTTTTCAGCTTGAATGAGAGGTAGTTTTTTGTTGTCATGAAAATGACAATCGCTGAGTTATTAGTGCCCAGTCCCGCAGGCGCAGCTGTGCTCCATTTCCCATACAGAGCTTCGTCCTGTGCAAGCGCAGGTTTTCCAGGTGTTAACGCTTCCTGTGAAACTTGCACTTAGCTCTTCATAGACAGAAGAAATCTAAGTCATTCGTGCAGGAGGCTCTGTGCAACGCATGCTCATTCGCTGAATTGAGGGCGCTATAGCCTGGTGTCTTGCAGCAACGGTGCCCCCCCCACACCTTCAGGCACATTGTCATTAGACTGATTCGGGTACAAAGTACTTCCAAATATTTTCAAAGGTTCTGTATTTTTTTTTTTTTTTTAAGTGCCATAAAATACAGGCATCTCTTGAAATTGGTCAAACTCCAGAGTCATACTTAGCTTCAAAATAGAAGAGGAACAACTGATAAGGAAAGCTATTGTTTCACGTTCACCAGCACCTTCCAGCTAATCTTTAATACTGAGCTGAACAGTGTTTCTGAATCCATCACTTTTCTTTCTCACAGCAGGGAGCAGAGTTCTGAATATGAAAGAATCTAACAAATTCTGACCTTTATTGTATCTTTACAGAGTATTCCCAGTTTCAAACCCAGAGATATCAGAGCACAACACGGGCCTCAAAGGGGTAATACTGATTAAAGCATTCCTTCATTCTAGAGATGTTCTACTCCTGTCAAAACAAACTTCGCAATGTTTTGAAACACTTGTGATTTTTGAAACATGCTCATTACATATGAAAAAGGCAAAGAACTATGCTCAAAAAACCTGAGCTGCCATCCATGAATAACTTTTTTTTTTTTTTTTAAAGCGACGAAAAGGCCCACACTTTTCAAACTAATAATTAAAAATGTTTGGAATTAGTAGCTAAACTTTAACCAGGCACACTATTACATGTACCATGACCATATATTTTAGTATGTTTTAATAATATCTAGCGGTGCAAATACTGCAGGAAAGCAATTCCACTTGAAAACGTGGAACCTGTCTCACTTCTCCAGAGACGCTTGTAGGTTATCAAGAAACACTTACAGCATTATTTAAAAGAAGTCTAGTTCATAAGTATTGATGTCTAAAAGTTTTCAATACTTGGGGTAATTAAGTGCTCCTTAGCAAGAAGGCTGAGATCTTTTCCTAGAAGAATAATTTGGGAATTAGCTCAACTTTTGGAAATTAGTTTTTACAGGCTGTCATATTTTCAGGAGAAGTAATCTGTGCCTAGTTCTTTGCAATCTATTAAAAATACAAGAACTCTGTCATGCTCTCAACCATCAAGGATAAACTGTTTTAGAATAATGAAGAAACATTCAATAATAGAGATTTGATATGATATAGCTTCTCCTGTCATTGGGATAAAAAAAAAAAAAAAAAAAATTTGTGGAAGCCTGAACAACTCAGCTAAGAGAAAGCAAGACAGCATCTCAGGTTATGTTTTTCTTCCTTCAGTCATTTATTAGTTACAGAACTGCTGCAAGATTTCAGGGCACCAGACTGGAGACAAGCATGCTGCCTCCATAGCAGTCTCAACTGAATATGCAAAATAAAACAAAAGTTAAAACAGTGGTCAAAGGCCCTAAAGTGTGCTTTAAATTCCTTCAAATCTCACTGTGAGGTATCCGCACTAATTGTTTGGGGGGGGGGCAGGGGGGAAAACCGATCAAATCTACTTGTTCTTACAGAGAGACTATTATGCACACAGACCTGCAGCTGTTTCTAATAGACTTGTTCCTTTAAGCTCTCATAACTTTTTCTTACTAGCGTTTAATTACGTACACAACCCTATCAAGTCTTTATAGCCTTTTTTTTTTTTTTTTTTTTTTGAAGACACATAGGTACTGTACTATTCCTGCAATGAATGAATGATTCTGCAGCTATCTTTTCTTCCACAAATACTGTACTTCATGCACGGAAACAAAGGCCAAACTTGTTCAAGATGCAGAGAATATTGGCTATTACAATTTTAGGCAGAGGTCCACCTTTTCTTAACAAGCAATGCTTTCCAGACCCTTGAAGTAGTGAGAGTTTTGCTTGGGATGGTAAAATGGTTTCGCGTTTTTAAAAAAAAAA